ACACACACACACACACACACACACACACACACACACACACACACACACACACACTCAAACACATACACACACACACACACACATACGCACACGTCGCTGCTCCGCTGCAGTGCTGCTCATCCGTTGGCCGTGCCTTCTGTGCTTGTGTGCCATGTTGGTTGGTTGCCTTGTTGCTGGTGTCTTGTGCTCCGCTCCACGGTCGCCCATCTGCTGGTTCACTCGCTCTGTCATCCCCTGCAGTGTTGTTGCCTTGCTTGTGTTGCCTTATGCTTCACTACACGGCTGCCGCGCTGCGTGCCATGTCGTTCCTTGTAGTCGTTTTTGGCGTTGTGCAGTCGTGTTGCCTCTACTGTGTTGCCTGGTGCTTTAAAGGGTTGCTGCCCGCTGCTATGTTCCTCTTGGGGACAGTCTGCCTTCAACAAGGGTCAAAGAGTTCATGACCCAAACCATCAAATACGGGGATTCCGCAGATTGTCGAGGGTTCAGCCTCCTGACGAGTCGGTGCAACTCCGACGAAACAACCTTTCATCTTTTGTTTTTTTCGCTGTGTTTTTTTGTGCTGTTTGCTCTTTTGTCTGCCTTGTTGCCTTGTTGCCTCCACCTCATTCTTCTGCCTAGTGTTGTTTGTCTGCCCGCCCGCCTCCCCCTTGCCCTCCACCCTTTGTTCGCTGTTGCGGTGTGTCATCCAAGTACCTTGTTGTGTTCTGACCTCAGCCTTGTCATTTTGTTTGTCTTGTTGTACTTGTCTTGCCGCTGGTCGGTTCGTTTTTCTTTTTATGACTATTGAAAGCTGGGCTTTATAAGCATTTTTTTCTATGGGCATTCCTGGCTGCAAGCTCTTTCCCGGTGTTGTTTATAAGCGCACTCTTCCGCACAACATGTTCTGACACGGTCACAGAATCCACGCAATGCACATATAACACGCACACACTCACGCATACGCACACTTGTAGTAGGTATATTTTCATGTCCTAGTGGAAGATTCATTCAATTTTTCTCATCTATCGATGCAAGTAGCGTGAGGCCAGCCCAGGGGTTGGAGACTTACCTGTTCGGCAATGCATATCTCATCCAATCTCTCTTTTTTTTTTTTCTCTCTCTCTCTCTCTCTCTCTCTCTCTCTCTCTCTCTCTCTCTCTCTCT